TGACTTAAACCTTGTACTAACCAACCTAAATAACTTCCATAACCCAAATAAACAAGCGGCTGTCTCTACAAAGAAAAGTGACCAAAACACTACCCGCCACTATTGTTTTCACTGCCAGACGCAGGATAGCACCACCCTCCTCACGCCTCTGAAACACACTAAACCTGATCAACACTGTAGCAGCATGACTGAAGACAAGGCAGAGGAAATTGGGCCAAAGTTTAACCGAAGAATCCATGATCCAATTTCTCCAGCTCTTAACAAACTTGTGGTAGGCATGTGTTCCTCACTGACACTGGGCGAATCAGTACAATAAAATATGATAAGGTTTGTTCGGATTTTTAACCTGAAGAGTTAGACTCATCAAAGATTGAGTTTTATTTCCAATGGAGTTCTTCAATTTTGTCCCTCAGGATGTGGCACAGACCAGTCGACTAACGTCCAGGTACCTACTTACTGTTACATGAACAGGGACAACAAGTGTAAGGAAATATTACCCTACGTTCCCGCCCATGCTGGGGATTGAACCACAGAAACTCAGGGTGTGAGGTAAGGGCTCTGCCAACCAAGCCACGGGGCCCCGACTTTGAATGAATTTGAACAACCAAAAGACCTTAGGGCTATTACTGACAAGAAATAAAAAGCTATATCACTTTACAAAGCAATTACATATAGCTGCAAAATGTTGTTGCCAGTCAAGTTTCTCTCCTATCTTCTATCACTTTGACTCACGAAATCGTAATGACACGATTGCAAACAAACCAGTGGCTAACGCGACGGTCTGGAGTTTTGAGACTCTCTGACCGCGGGTTCAATCCCACCCGTGGTATGGTTTCTATCACTTTATCATAGAACTCCAACCGGCTATTAACACAAGATATGCTATCTCTAAACCTGTGTTTGTTGTAGTCTATGAGATCATTTCTTTCCAAGAGCTATTCCATTCTTCTGATTATTTTCTCCATTACCTTGCTTCGTATGTGCGTCGGTGATATTGACCTGAAGTTCAATACTTCCTGTCTGTCTACTTTCTTGAATACTGGGACTTCATTTCCTGTTTTCCGGATCTTCGCAATTGTCTGGTGCTCACTGACATGTAGATTCCAGCTAGTGATTCAAACTGTCCTCAATACCTTCGATGTATCCAGTTTTCTCATAGATTATTTTACTTCCTTCCCTGTTGAGTGTATGCTGTCAGGTACTTGTCAGTATACCCTTTTTCTTTGGCTCTCTAATATTATTTCTGTTTCCTCTGAGGGTTCCTCTTTAAATCATTTGTTCATTTGTTCATAAACTTCATTTCCGCTTCTTCTAAGGTCTTATTCACTCTTATTTAGTCGAATTACTTGGTATTTTAATGTTATCTTTCCTCTCTTGCTGCTATGAAGCAGTTATGGTTCAAACTTGGCTTAATTGCTTTGGTAAGTAAGACATATGTGCAACAGTTAGGCATCTGTATTCCGAAATGTTTCGCCTACATAGTAGGCTTCTTCAGTCGAGTACAGAAAAGTTGGCAGAAGCAGCAGAGATGTGAAGGCGAAGTAATCAGTCCATTATCCTTGAAGATGTAGTTTTGAGGTGGTCAGTCCCTCAGTCTGGAAAAGATATTTGTTCCATAGACTGAAACAATATAAAGTTAAAGCGACAGTATGGAGACTTATATACTGTCGGAGACTCTGATACTCTGTCACTTCCTCTCAGCATTTTGTTTGTCGTAAATATGTCACCCCTCGTATTTCTATTCTCTAATGTTATCAGGTGTAGCTCCTTGTGCTTCTGCTCATTGATCAACTCCCTTAGCACAGGAACTAGTCTTGCTGTATACCTTAGCATTTTTTCCAGCTTCTTGATATGCTTTATCAGATGTACTGTAAGTTCCATACTGGTACTGAACTCCTTGTTGGGCCTGAAAAAGGCCGTATATATTGTCGTGAATAAGTAAGTCCTTCATGAGGTTCCTGAAAATTATCTTTAAATTTTCTATTCTCTTATTTGCTGTGGTGGTTATTCGATTGATCTTCACCTTTAGTGATATGCTTGGAACTATGCTCACCTCGAGGTGCTTCTCTTTCAGGGAGGTATGCGACATATGTCCCCCTTCGTCTGTTTCCTTCCCCGATTTTCATAACTCTGTATTTGCTGCGCTTAGTGGAATCTTTTCATATCAAGCCTACAGCATTTCCAGATCCGTTTGTAGACATTCCTCATCTGCTCCTGTTAATTGCACGGCATTTGTAAAGAGGAACTCCTCTGAATTGATTTCTTCCGTCATGCTGTTTGCGTTCACTGCAAACAGTACTGGCCTAAAGGATAATCCTTGTGGAACCCCACTTTTCACACTTACCCTTTCCGACACCTACCGGACAATGACTTATTGTTTCGTTCTGTTAATTATTTTGTTAACCACTTTAGTTCTTTCCCTTTTATTCCTGCCTGCTTTTCTAACTTATGCCCCAGTCTCTTCATGGCACTATATTGAAAGCCTTCTTACGGTCAAAAAATATGCAGTACACCCATCCTAACTCTCTTGCCTAACTCTCATTACCTTGTCAAAGAACTCTAGCAGATTTGAGTTTATGAACACACTAATTTCCAACTGCTCCATTATTCATAACCTGATAATCTTCTCCATAACTGTCAATAATACTAACCTGTAATTAAATGCTATCTGTCTATCCCGTTTCTTAAATATCAGGACTACATTCGCTGATTTATTTACCTCAAGAAGCTGGCCTCTTCCAACTGACTTGTTAAACATCACTCCTAGAATTTCAGACAGCTCATCAGCTCCCTCTGTCAGAACCCACGACGGAGAGATGTCTAGTACCATCGTCTTCCAGGTATCTTGTTCACTTTGTAATCTATCAATCTCTTCTCATTGTGTGTACTATGTACAGTACTTGATGTGAGATCCGCCATAACTCGCTGGCAGATAAGTTCACCTCCTTAAATTATATTATTATTATTATTATTATTATTATTATTATTATTATTATTATTATTATTATTATAGTTACTATTTTTATTTTATCACTATTATTGTTATTAGTGGCAGTAGTCTTTTATTTTTATTATTTCATTATAATAACTATTTTAATTTATTATTGTTTTTATCATCATTTTTATCAATAACATTATTATTGGCTGACCCTGCAGGGGTTGCACCATGCAACATAATACTGATGTATTAGTGAGTACTGTATACAACTATACATGCTCAGTTCTCTCGTAATACAACGTGGGGTGATATAAATATTTAATTACAAAATTTTTTTAATCCCTTTAGAAAAGTGCCTTGATGCTGGAGGTCTCTTGGTCCAAGGAAATAAAGCTATTCCCCCCTTGCTTAGATCGAGATTAATTCCATCTCAACCAAATTTAGCGTTCCCACCAAAATAATAATAATAATAATAATAATAATAATAATAAAAATAATAATAATAATAATAATAGTAATAATAATCTGATTACTGCAGAATTACATCTTTTTTCCACTAGAGTCAGCAAGCAAGATCATATATTTAAAGAGCTAATTTATCTGTTAACTTAGTTTTGAGTAAATTGCGTAGTATACTCTCGTCAATTTTAAGAATGAATTAGTATCAAAGATATAATAAAAACTGAAGTAAACACTCATACAAACACTAAGAAATGAGAGCGGAACAGTGGCATATCGTTCCGCGCAGAGATCACAAGAATCCAGAAACAATGATTTTGTTGGCTCTACATGTCGTCCTGGCCGCAAGAGTGAAGAAACAACTCGAGTTTCAGAGCAAGATTTTGATCGCTATAGCTGTTCAACAAGTCAAGACCTGATTAAGTTCTGAACAGGTTGAGAATGTGTCCCAGTTTGTCAGAAACGTATCTTCCTCTAACCCGGTGGCGCCTTCAGAATTATAACCAGCTGAAAAACACGATTAGTGTTTGGTTTTCATGTTCTAGCAGCTGGAATTGACCTGTGTAACATCCCTTATATCCTTCAGGCACTGTACTTCCCACCTCTAGAACTTAAGTCCAGCTAACCGGTTTATATGAGTCCCTCCATAAAACTTATACCTTGCTCACACTCCACATTCATTATTTCCGGGTATTATTGCTTTCAAAGGAGGAGTACTAAACCCGTGTAGGTTATGCAACATTCCTTGGGTCGAATCAACCGGATTCGATCCAGTGAAGAGGTCAGTTTCATTTCCTTGGATCAAGAACTGTTCAACTTGGGCAAGGAATCCCCCTTGAGGAGTTACATTTCACAACCAATCTATTATAATCGAGCGGCTTAAAGGGTTCCTTTCATCAGGGACTGGAGAAGATGGGCTGCCAAAGTAGCCCAACAGTTTTGCAATTATCGGACAGAGGATGAAGCCTCCGCTGTTCTTTAGCTCATACGGTTTTGCGCCTAAGTATAACTGTGACCGTATTTTGTTGGCATTGTGAATTGTCCTCATCACTGAGAAAGCAGTCGCTGTTACTCGTCCTTAATACCAACCTATCTGTTGGGACCGAGCACCCTAACACAGCTATTGTCAATGGTTTCACTATTTCTCTTTTAATTTCGTCTATTATTCCATTATAAAAGATTACTGAGGCTATCAGTTTCAATTGTGTGCAACCATATTCACACTTGTATACATTTTTATATCATTTGAAAAATGCTTGAAAGTAGTTTTTTAATAGATTAGAACGGCGTTACCAGTTAATTCTTAAATTCATGTTTTTCTGTTTTATTTATATTCATCATTCTCCCTTACGTTATGTAACATTTTATGAGTCAACAATTAATGGGTTTCCTGGTATGCTACAGTATTGATTTTCTTTGTACTGATGAATATCAAACGAATTAAAGTTCATACATTTTATTATGACAATCCTGGAAACTCTTATACAGAAACATTAAATTGATACCCACAAGAACAGATTTAGGAGGCTATTGAATGACGTCGAGTGTTTTCAAGTTTTGTAGTTTCTGCCCAGCAGTTAAGATGGTTTCCCGTGATCTCTTCCAGCGAGCGTCCGCGAGTCTCTGGAAGACAGACAGCGCTGACAAAAGTTATTGCTCCACACACACCACTAAGACCCAGAAAGTCCCGTGTTGGCCAAGTGCTTCTATTGTCATGGGATAAGTATAAGATGCAATAAATGTCCCAGTCATTAATACCAAGACAAATATCGAATTTCCAACAGATCGACATGATGTAGGCAGAAGTTCTCCACACAATATTGAAAAGGCAGGCTGGCCAACGCCAATAAAGAAGATAAATATCATTGTTGCTGTAATGGGTATCCACCCCATGCCACTGGTAATACCTGTCTCATGTATGTAGAAGTACATTCCATAAATAGCCATACACAGAGAACACAAACAATATGAAATTAAGATCAATGGTTTGCGTCCTAGACGATCAACTACACAAAGATGAACTAAAGTTCCAAAAACCCTAACAATGCAAAATATTATAGCACTGATGAATGGATCCAAGTTTGCCTCAGCTGCCTGGAAAATAGGCACTAAATATGTCAGTAGAGCGTAACAACCAGTCATAGACAACAAGAAAGTTAAAAAGGTCATTAATAAGAATATATTAATAGTTTCTGTCTCAAACAGCAACCGCGCTTGTTGATAACAGTTATTTGTCTTCCTACTTACATTATTAATTTGTTGTGTGATATCCAGTAATTCTGGTTCGCAGTCATAATGTTTCCCTCTGAAAAAAACAAGAGCTTTCTGAGCTTCGCTAAGACGACCTTGAGTGACGAGCCAACGAGGAGAGTTAGGCAGGAAAAAGAGGCAAAAGAAAGGAACTGCTGACACTCCGCTTAAAACGAAGCCCATCTGTCTCCAGTCGAGCTTAGAAACTCCTAGAGCAGTCACTATTAAAAAGCCCAATAGCCTAGCTAAGGAAAGGATTCCGGTAAGAATTCCACGTATATTCTTATGAGCGATTTCGATTGTATATAATGATGAAGCAGTAAGCATGATGCCCATGGTGATGCCCAGAAAAGTGCGGCACGATAAAAGATGCCAAACGGTTGGAGAAACAGCAAGGATGAGCCACGAAACAAGAGAGATGGGCAAGGTCACCAGGAGCGTCGCTCGCTGGCCAAGCTTCACTAGCAGTGTTCCACTCACAAAGCTCCCTATAGCTGCTCCCAGGTATCCCAGGCTTCCTGCAATGAATAATTATGGTAATATTTGTTCATTTCTATAGATTGTACCTGGCAAGACAAAAATAATATCATTAATTAGAAAATATCAAGTTCAGTTCGAGAAAAAAATTCAAGTGCGTCCTTATGCCAACCCTTTTTTTCCCCATTCCTGTAAAGTTACTGATATTGAATTGTGGGTTAAGGCGTCATGTGGTTCTTGTTCACAATGGCGGGCCAGTACAACATGGGTTTGAATCCTTAGCTAGCGCAGTATTGTTATTGATCAATACCACTCGTTCGTGGTTACAATAATAAATATATATATATAAAGAGAAGAAGAAAAACTTTATAAAACTGGGATGCTTGAATGTGCGTGGATGTAGTGTAGATAACAAGAAACAGATGATTGCTGATGTTTTGAATGAAAAGAAGTTGGATGTCCTGGCCCTAAGCGAAACAAAGCTGAAGGGGGAAGGGGAGTTTCAGTGGGGGGAAATAAATGGGATTAAATCTGGAGTATCTGAGAGAGTTAGAGAAAAGGAAGGGGTAGCAGTAATGTTGAATGATCAGTTATGGAAGGAGAAAAGAGAATATGAATGTGTAAATGCAAGAATTATGTGGATTAAAGTAAAGATTGGATGCGAGAAGTGGGTCATAAGCGTGTATGCACCTGGAGAGAGAGGAATACAGAGGAGAGAGAGAGATTTTGGGAGATGTTAAGTGAATGTATAGGAGCCTTTTGAACCAAGTGAGAGAGTAATTGTGGTAGGGACCTGAATGCTAAAGTAGGAGAAACTTTTAGAGAGGGTGTGGTAGGTAAGTTGGGGTGCAAGGTGTAAATGATAATGGGAAACCCTTTGATTGAACTTTGTATAGAAAGGGGTTAGTTATAGGTAATACATATTTTAAGAAAAAGAGGATAAATAAGTATACAAGATATGATGTAGGGCGAAATGACAGTAGTTTGTTGGATTATGTATTGGTAGATAAAAGACTGTTGAGTAGACTTCAGGATGTACATGTTTATAGAGGGGCCACAGATATATCAGATCACTTTCTAGTTGTAACTACACTGAGAGTAAAGGGTAGGTGGGATACAAGGAGAATAGAAGCATCAGGGAAGAGAGAGGTGAAGGTTTATAAACTAAAAGAGGAGGCAGCTAGGGAAAGATATAAACAGCTATTGGAGGATAGATGGGCTAATGAGAGCATAGGCAATGGGGTCGAAGAGGTATGGGGTAGGTTTAAAAATGTAGTGTTAGAGTGTTCAGCAGAAGTTTGTGGTTACAGGAAAGTGGGTGCGGGAGGGAAGAGGAGCGATTGGTGGAATGATGATGTAAAGAGAGTTGTAAGGGA